ACATGGCAAGTGGCGAGCCAAGGGCCCCTGCGCCTCCCCAGGCTCCAGTGCCAGGCGGGGAGGAGCGGCAGGAACTGGCACAGAGATCTCCCGGACAAGGCCTGGCTGCCAATCACCAGGCCTGCAGGGGGGCGGGCAGGACTCTGGCATCCGCCAATTGCCTTTCACGTGTCCAAGGAACTCGCCGGAGTCTGGCTGGAACAGAGCCTGTGGGGGCAGTTTTCACAGCTGAGCGCAGCCCCGAGCAGAGGGGCTGGGGCACACGTGCACGGACCCTCCCGCTGCCTAAGATGCAAAGTGCCGGTGGGCGGGAGGGGGGCAGGAAAGCCAGAGCCTGCCGCGCGGAGGAGGCGCCGAGGGGCAGAGCCGTACGGGGCAGGCTCGGGCTCGGATCCAGTGGAGAGACAGACGCAGAGGGGTGAGGTAACTCGAGGGAGGCGCCTGGTCCCCAAGTCCAGCTCTCGGTTCCAGTCCGGCCCAGAGCCCCCTGCCGCACCACGGGGATCCAAACGGCGACAGGTTCCGAAGCCAGCGGCCAGTCTGTGCCCCAGGCCAGGCCCCGTGCCGGGCAGTCAGAGGTTGGGGATCGGCACGTCGAAGAGGTCGCAGACGCCTTCGCTCTCGTCCAGGTTGTAGATGTAGTCGTGGTCTCCAGGGGGCGGGGAGAGGCGGAGCAAGGGAGCAAATACTGCGGGGGAGAAAGCAGGGGCCTGGTGTCTGCAAATCCTGGAACCACGGCACCCGCACCCACCGCTTGGAGCCTCCGGCCTGGTCACGGGGGACTCGGCCTCGCTCCTCCTCCCAACGAGAGGTTGCTCGGCAGCAAGCTACCTCTGCCACTCACCTTCGGAGGACATCAGCTCTTCCAGCAGCTCGGAGTTCAGGCATTCTGGGGAGAGGGGAGACAGCAGGCTATTCTCAGGAAAGCCAAGGAGCAGACCGGAACCACAGGCAGCTCCGGAGAACCACAAATACTAGAATTGGAAGGGAGCTCGAGAGTCCAGTCTCCACCCTCACAGCAGGACCAAGCACCGTCCAGACCATCCCTGACAGGCGTCTGTCCAACCTGCTCTTCAATCTCTCAGCGATGGAGACTCACAACCTCCCTGAGGCGTCTGTCCAACCTGCTCTTCAATCTCGCAGCGATGGAGACTCACAACCTCCCTGGGCAACTTATCCCAGTGTCTGACCACCCTGACAGGAAGTTTTTCCGAACGTCCAACCTCAACCTCCCTTGCTGCAGTTTAAGCCCATTGCTGCTTGTCCTGTCCTCAGATGCCAAGGAGAACAATGTGTCTCCCACCTCCTTTTAGATACCTGAAAACCCCCATCACGTCCCCTCTCAGTCTTCTCCTTTCCAAACTAAAGCCCAAGTCCCTCGGAGCTCGTGTCTTCCAGACCTTTCATCGTCTCTGCTCAGAGAGCAACTTGGGACTCAAGCCATCTCCTCCGCATCGGAGCTCGTGTCTTCCAGACCTTTCATCGCTGTGTTTGCTCTGCTCAGAGAGCAACTCGGGACTCAAGCCATCTCCTCCGCGCGAAGGGGGCTGGGGTGATCAGCAGGGGAAAGTGGGCCAAAGCCCCCTTTAAGACTCCTGCACTGCTTCAGCGTGACAAGCTGTAGGCTGAGTATCCGCCCTGGGACAGCGCCCCCAACTGGCCCAGTACCAGTCATGAAAGATTTCTTTAAAAAAAAAAAAGACGGCAGCAAAAGTTGTGCCACAAACGCGGCAAGTTGGCGATCCTCACTGAGGACTAGCGGCTTTGCTCGCATGCGAGGTGGGGTTTGCAGGGAGGAGGTGGGAGGGGGGAATTGAAAATAAAAACTAAGCAATTAAGCACCCATCTGACCACACCTTCCTCATGAACCGAGACAGCCTCATCACACGCACCGGGCTGGATTTCAGCTGTGCTCACATGTACCTACAAGGAGATTTTACCAGCTGGCCCCTAGGACAATCAATACTCCAGGACAGCCACCTCCGTGGGGCACTGCTCCCCAGAGGAGGGTATGCACAGAGCCGCTGCAGCCCTGCCTCTCCCCCAGCTGAACCAGCATGGGGAGGAGAGACCGGCAAACCCAAACCCCGTGGGAGCCTCTTTTCCTTAAGAAAGGGGAAACGAAACAATATCTGCATCAAGTCTCCTCCAGCAGCAGCAACCTGGGCCCTGCAGAGCCCCTGGAACCCCAAAAGGTGAGCTGGGAAGTTACGGGTATGAAATGAAGACGAGGCTGCCCGGCACACCAAGCTATGCAGCCTTCCACGCCAGCCCGCGCCCCGGGCCCGTCCCAGCGCCGAGGCACACGGGTGGGAAGGGTTCTTGCTCTCTGGTTCCTGTCCTCACTGCATTTCAGGCTTTAACCCCGCACAAGCAGCCGTTGTGAAGAGTGTCCCACGGACTCTCACTGGCCCCCACCCCCCCCTCTGCTACCATCTACCTTCCCTTGCAGGGTCGGGGCATTCCCTCTCCACAGTGTGGAAAACGCCGCACAGAGCAGGGGGCGCCGGGCTGGGAATACCAGCCCTTCCAGTCAAGCATTCGCTTACCTATCTACCAGCAGTGGGGAGGAAGGGCAGGACCGCTGGTAACCCTAACCCCACAGCACAGCCGGATCCACTGCCCAGCTGGCACACCACTAGCTCGGGCAGCGGGACTGGTGCTGGACGTGTGGATTTAGCCCAGGGCTTTTCATGAGACCGGCCTGGGAGTTCCCCACATGCTCCTTCGTGTTCCTCGCCCTCGGCCCCCATGTTTCAGCTGCACACCCCATGGCCCTCTCTTCGCTGTGGGGAACGGCTGAGAGCAGAGCCCTGCCTAGGACAACCCCCCAGCCCCCAGGTTACTTGGACACAGCGGCCCTGTGCACTCAATGAGGAGCACTCCCAGCAGGGGGCGGCCTTGTGGCCCAATTCCAGGTGGCGAGGCAGCCAGGAGGGAATTGTTTATGTCCATAGGGGCCAAGGGGCAGATTCGGTCCAGGCCTGGGCCAGCGCATGCAGCTGTCGTTCCAGAAGCCTGCAGCAGAGGTCGCTCAGCATCTCGCGAGCACGGCGACAGCAGGAGCCCACGGCCAGGCAGGCAGGGGAGCCGTGGAGGGGGAGGCAGTAGGGAGCCCTTCTCCCCGGAGCACAGGAGGGCAAGCAGGGGGCGGGGGTCAACGTACCTCGTGTGGGATCAAACATCTCGGCGAGTTCTTTGGGAAGCTCCAGCACTGGGGAGACAATGAACCGAAGCGGTTGGCCCTGGGCCCCGAAAGGCCTGAAATACCCCAGCACAGCCGGCTGCCCCTGCCCCGAGCCCCACCTGCAGCCCCACCCGCGCCCCTCCCCCCTTTCCCACCCTGAGCGGGATGAATTCACTGACGCGCACCAACGCGGAGGAGACCCGGCACCCACCGCAGAACCAGTGAGGGGCGGGGGGCGAGGCCAAGGGGCTCGGAGCCCCCTCCCTCAGGGCTGGGGCAGAGGGTTGGGGGGCAGGGTGTGAGTTGGGGTGTGGGGCTGGCTGCAGACCCTGGGAGACAAAACTGCTGCAGTTACACCTGGGGCACATTCTCTTCGCAACCAGGAGGCTGAGACAGGTCCCTCCCCTGCCCCCGCCCCTCGTCCCCGCTTCGGGAGCAGGGCTAGGGGGACGACAGGGTTCTGCTCACCCAGGGCTCCATCCGGCCCGGCCTTCGGCAAACCAGGCTGCTCTCCGGAGACCATCCCCCAGCCACTCCCTGTCCCAGCGTCTCCGTCCTTCCTTCCTCGGGACACCCACCCCGACCCTGGCGCCGCCTCCCACCCGGCTTCCAGCCCGAGGCTTCCCCCCACGGCCACTGGTGCTTCAGCGAGTGGCCCCTGCCCCCCAGCCGGGCCGGCCCCGCGCGAAGAACTCAGAAGCCGGGGTCCGTGGAGCCGTCGGGGTCATGGTGCGATGCCCCCTCCCCCCCAGGAATCCCTCCCTTGGCCCCGCGAGTTTCCAGGCCTCACCTCACGGCTCTTCCTATCTACAGGCCTCGCCGCCAGGCTCCTACCCCACGGCCCCCTCGCATTCTCTAAGGCACGTGTGGCCACCCCCAGCGCGGCAGGGCCGTGCGCTCACCGGCTCCGGGCCCCACCAGCAGCCTGCGGGGGAGCAGGGAACCGAACGTGCTTCCGCTCCGGCCACACAATGGGCGGCCAGACTCCAGGGTAAGGGGAGCGGCAGGACCAGGGGTCCCCGCAATGGCCTGTCTCTCTCCTGACCAGGTCCACCAAGGGAAGTGGAGACTCACCCCACCCACGCGCCTGCTCTCCCGCATCACTCCCCCTGCCCCGGGCTCCCCACAGCCCCCTCACAGCCTGCGGCAGGCACGACGGCAGGGCTGCTCCGCCTGCTAAGCGCCACCCCCTGCAAACTTCTCCAGCTCAGCCTGTTCAGCACCCAGGCTCCATGCACCCGCTGGCTCCGGAGCCCCCACAGGGCGGTCGGGGGCCGGGCTCGGAACCACGAGCCCCCAGCCCTTCTCCACAGAACCAGGCGAATTGTGGTGCCTGGCTGTGGGCCAGCGCTGCTGCTAAGTTCCCAGAGAGGTTCTGCCCCGCTCCCCACCCAGGACCGCGAAGGGGTGTCTGGGCTCCCCCCAGGGGAGCAGTGAATACCGGAGCAGGGGGGCTGGGGAGGGGATGAAATGGTGGGAGAAGAGGGAGGCCGCCCGGAGAACCCTCCCACCGGACGAGGGAACGGCTGGAAGCCCCCAGGGCCGAGGGACTCGCCGCAGGCCCACGCTGTGCGGAAGGGATGCTCGGGGGGCCA